TTAATAGTATGACCATCAACAGAAAAATTTTGATTATCGTTGTCTTTGTCAACATTTCTCGGGTTGATCGTTAATAGCTGGAACTTTTCTGGGTTGGTTGAGAGATAGTTGTTCTTGTACCAGGATAGAGCTTTCTCTCCATGTATCTTGATACTTTGCGCGACAACGTCATGCTTCTTCCCCGTGACATACATCTGATGGTCGTCGGCATACATGCTCAAATTAGCATTATTTATATGAAATGACATATCATTTTGGAACAAATTCCACAGAAGGGGGCCAAAGGACGAGCCTTGCGGGCAGCCAAGCACCATCCTTTTCCAGTCACTTGTCACTCCTTTTATTTTCACTCTATTGAGCCTATTGTCAAAGTATGATCTAAGAAGGTTGAGAGAATTTTGTCCAATGCCATAGGCCTCGAGTTTCTTTACGATTAGAGAATGGCTAAGAGAGTCAAAGGCTTTACTCAAGTCAGTAGACAGTATGTACACCAGTTCCTTTCTGTCAACAGCTGATTTCCAGTCTTCCACGAGTCTAAGTAGAGTGGTCTGACAGCTATGATGTCTTCTATAAGCTGTCATTCTCTGATAGAGAGTTGGATCATAGTGCCCGGTGATTTGCTTACTGAGCATATGCTCAAATGTCTTATTTACGGTAACAAGGGACGTGATGGGACGATAGTTCTTCGCCAGTTGTCTGTCACCTTTTTTAAACACTGGCGTCCACTCTCCCATTTTCCACGCACAATGCCATCGCCCCAGCTCGATACAACTGTTGTAGAGAGTCATTAGCGATGGGACAATTCCACAGGCCACGTTCTTAAGGAGTTTAGGCGGTGCTCCGGGGTCCCACCCACAGGACTTAATGGGGTTGATATTTTCAAGCGCCTTTTGCACTTGAGCCTTGCTGACACGATTGAACTCGAAGTGCGTTCCTAGGTATGCTTCTCTTAGAGCTTCAACGCTGCCATGATTGTCATGGTTCTCTTCTGTGATGCAAATAGCATTGTCTCCTACAATGCTAACAGCAGCTGTGGTGAAATAGTTCACTAATTGCTCAGCTACCTCCCATTGATCTTTTACAATGATGCGTTCTTCTGTTTTTAAACTGATTAAGACAGACAGACAGACAGACAACCTTCATTTTAGCACAATAGTAATAAAAGCTATGCATCTTATGGGGTCGTGCATAAATAATAAACCTAGGAACAAAATATATACATAATAAGTAACAATATCAAACTATCTAAAAATTAAATTATTAAAAGTATGACATAACCAAAATATAATGGAAATCTTTAAGTCCAAAATTTCAGGTTGTTGTAGAGGTCTCTTTGAAAGTCAGCTCTTTGAAAATATCCATTAAACGGGTTTTCTTCTTCAAGTTTTGATAACTTGTATTAATAATAATAATAATAATAATAATAATACATTTATAGAGCGCCCTTTCCCATGGGTCCAAAGGCGCTATTTACAGAGTCACAATTCAAAAATAGTTTAAAATAATTAAAATTAGTTAGTTAAGATTATAAAACACCAAGATCATTTCATTAATTTAAAAGCACGTGTAAAAAGAGTAGTTTTAAGCCGTCTTTTAAAAATGTCAAGTGATCCAGCCAGCAGCCCTAACATGCTGAGGAAGACTGTTCCAGAGAAGTGGTGCGACAACAGAAAAAGCACGACGGTCATAACTATCTCACGGTGTGGAAGGCAGGGACGACAAGTAGATTCTTCGTTGAAGACCTAAGGTTGCGTGGTGGTTGATAGCTTTTAACAAGGTCTTTAATGTAAGTCGGAGCGAGACCATGAAGAGCCTTGTAGGTAATAGTAAGTATTTTAAATTCAATTCGGAGATCAATCGGAAGCCAATGGAATTTTTTGAGAACAGGTGTAATATGGCAAAACTTTGGTGAAACAGTAACAACACGAGCGGCTGCATTCTGAACACGCTGAAGCTGTTTAATCAGATACTTAGGTAAACCATATAATAGCGAGTTGCAGTAATCAAGTTTTGATGTGACT